AAAAAAAAAAAAAAAAGTACCTTTATCGGTCGTCCCAGCCAGCTCCTCACTGTACATTGCTTTGGAACGTTACGTTTTAGTCCCAGAATGTTATTTTTATAAATAAAAAAAAATGATATATATATATATAAATGTATATGTATGTATACAGTAACGATATTATATATATATACATAAACAAAAAAAAAAAAAATACGAGAGAGAAAAATGGGCGAGAGTTGTACGAAATACAAGTATATATATATAAATATATATATATATATATTATATATATAGTGATATAAAGCGATTTTCCGAGCGACATGGAAAAAGCGAAAAAAACTTAGTCACTGTTTTTTACTATTTTTTAAAGAACAAAAAGGTATATGTCGTAATCGCGTAATCTAATGTGTAACTAAGGGAACCCGCGCGCTATTTATTTTTTATCATCCGTGAGTGTTATCTAATGTGTAATTAGCAACTCGTGTTGAGATTCGACGATCCGATGATCAGCGAACAACGCTTGAACGAAATACGAAATTCGAGATGTATCGAGACGATCGATCGATCGGGTGAAATCGCTGTCATTCGATCATCGAATCGAGGGGCGAAATTTTGTGCTTGCAAAGAAGATCCATCGTCGACGAACGGAAGCGTGATATCAGGCGCGACGAACGTCGAGCTCTCTCGACGCGCCATTTTTGGCTCGATGTTCGTCTCGAACCGATATAACATGAGAAAGAAGATGTTGGGTTAACTTAATTGCAAAGAGACAAGGTTCTTCTTTTTCCAAGCTTTTGTTTCTTTTTTATTTTTTATTTTTTTCTTTTTAATCGTATCATGGTTCTACGCCAAATATATAAGAAAATTTGTTAAATTTTAACGTAAATCGTAAAACGTCCTTTCAATCGAGGTTAAAGCGTTCGAATTTCCGTTTCCTGTTCAAAGGAATACGCGAATACAGTGAATTCAATATACTCTTTCTCTCGGTTCTTTTCTTTTTTTTTCTTTTTTTTACGTGTCATTTCCTTTTTTTTTTTTCTTTAATTTATTTCCCTGCTCAGCCGGGCCGGCCGTGATCCTTCTCTCCGGCAAATCGTACGTTAAGGCGAAAATAAATCTATAGGCGAATTATAAATAGCGATAATCAGCGTTTAAGGGTACCAGCGTAGGTAATGCTAAGCGTTACGAACGTTTCCTCCGACTTCTACGAAACGTAAATTGCTCATTCTTGACATCGCGAGAACCCATTCGCGCAGTTATCCTGATTTCTCCAGTTTTTAGAGATCCTTCGCACAAGCGTAGTTTGAGATGACAAGCGCATCCGGAAACCGTTTCTGTCCACGATGTGTTAAAGATAGAACGAAAATACGTCGAGTATGTAAATATATATATATCATTTCCATTTTGCCACGAAATTCTAACGTCTCGTTTCGTTTATTCGCGTCAAGCCAGAATAAAACCAGAAGTTTGTACTCGGTCGCTCGCCATTCGAAACATCATCCGGACAGTGTCGTGTCAGAAAAAGAGAATCGAATTTTTGGTATCTTAAACATTTTTCTTTTTTTTTTCTTCGTTCCACTTTTACATTCCTTCGTCGTCACGATAAGGAAACAACAATCGAGCGAGATATCTTTTTCAGTCAATTACAGAGCAACGCACCAAGTGTTGAAGTGTTAATCGGGTATCGTATCGAGTCTTCGAGATTTCGCGTCGTTTAATCAAAATAACAATAACTCTATGCGATTTCACAGAAGATTTCTTAAAAGAATAACGATACAAAATTGGAGTTGAACTATTCGATATGCGAAACCTTCGTGCGTCGTTCGTGTTTTTAATCGTGAGACACGACGATACGATACGCGACGACATTCCGAGTGGTGGATGTAACTCGATTAAAATTTCGATTCGCGCATCTCTGAATGAAAGCGTGGAGCGTGTTGCGATAAATTTTCGTTCTCTCCCTTGTGTCGTCGCGTCTCTCGCGAACGTCTCGAATCCGGCGCCTCTATCCGCGATGCGACAGAGTTTTAGAATTCTATGAATTTTGTACGAGCGAAAGGTCTTGCCCATGGAACGAGTACTACCTGGATAATATATCGTAAACGCAGCCACATTCCATCCGTTCGACTTGTCGTAATCGAAAGAGACGGAAGGGGATAAATGGGAAGATGTACTACTGCGAGCCAAGTAGACGGGAACAATCTCGAGCGCATTTGTGCCTGGATGAATA